TTAGTAGAGACGGGGTTTCACCATGTTGACCAGGATGGTCTCGATCTCTTGACCTCGTGATCCACCCGCCTCGGCCTCCCAAAGTGCTGGGATTACAGGCGTGAGCCACCGTGCCCGGCCCTCAACTCCTTAATGAGGGAACCAGAAAAATGGTAAAGCTGCCTTCAAAGAGCATTTGAAAGGCAGAGATTTACAGTCAGCTGGGAAAAGAAATGCTAAAATAACTTTGCTAAGTTAGATGCAGAACTGGTTAATGTCCTACAGGACAATAATACTGTAATCTCTGGGTTTAGTTTAAGGGTTTTTCTTTCTGATGCTGGAAGAAATGCACCTTTGTCATAGAGATCCATCTTTGCATCGCTAAAACAAAAATAATTGGCAATAACAAAACTGGCATCTCTATAACAAAAATAATTGGCACCTTTGTCATAGAGATGCATGTTTGCATCTCTATAACAAAAATAATTGGCAATTTATCAATGTATCAGTTAATTTCTAACTGCAGGAGCTGTACTCTAATCACACATGAGTAAATAGTAAGTCAAAGGTGCATTTCCTTAGAGAACTAAATACTGCTGACTTCAGGTGGGCCTGTTAGTGCTTCAGTGTGACATCAAGAGAACTTCCAGGCATCCATTGGCCTTATTTCTCACATTTGGAATTCTTTAACAATATCCTGGCTGGGTGCAGTGGCTCATGCTTACAGTTCCAGTACTTTGGGAGAGAGACCAAGACGGGAGGATTACTTAAGGCCAGGAGTTTAAGACTAGCCTGGGCAACAGAGCAAGACCCCCAACTCTACAAAAAAAAATTTTTTTAATAGGTGGGTGTAGTGATTCACACTGGTAGTCCCAGCTACTTGGGAGGTTGAGGTGGGAGGATCGCTTGAGCTCAGGAGTTCGAGGCTGCAATGAGTTATGGTTGTGTCATTGCATTTCAGCCTGGGCAACCAAGCAATACCCTGTCTCAAAAAAATAAACGGAAAGAAAAATCAATATCCCCATTTGACGGATAAGAAAAGTAAAGCTCAGTCACTGTACAGAGTAGAACTGGAAATCCTTGCTTTTTCTCTTGGGCTCATGAACTTCTTCCTGGCCTCTGGCTCTAGCAATCATACCACAAATGACAGGAGTCTAGGTTCTGGAATGGTGACAAACATATTTTACAAAGGAAATACTCTCTGTCTGTCCCACTGTTTCTCCAAGCTCCTCTGCTGCATCTCCTGACATGTAGGAAAGGGGGGCTTCATTATCTGAGGCCACTAGCTCCATGCAGACCACCTGAATCTTGGCAACCCTTGAGCACTTGCCTTTCTCTTGGGCACACTTCATTTGGAGGCTGGTGTGGTGATCCACTGTTCTCCCCATTCCAGCTCAGTTGGCCAAGTCACCATATTTATTGGGTACTTTAGGAGCAATGCCTTGGGGAACTGAAGGTCTGGCTGGGGAAACTGTTCTTCATCCAATATTTCTTCCATTCCCTTCCCACCCAGCTGAAAATAGCGAACTGAGCAGGGAATATGAAGAATCCCAGAGCAGGCTCAATCAAATCCTAAGGATAAAGACATCTCTGACATCACAAGTGGATGAT